TTGCATGCTGCCTCCTTTGTTTTTAGTTGAACTACAAAATAGAGGGAGAGAAACGGAAGCATAAGTACACTATGGACCCTGAATTGCCTCAGTTTATTCAGGCCAAGGTCAACGCCTTGAACATGAGTGATGTGAGTATTTGGCCTGTTGCCAGTCTAATATTGCTAACATGGGCCTCCTCTTTCCAGTTCTGTATAATTCTAGCAGTGAGAATTTTAAGGAGTATGGACCTTTTGAGTCTCTGTTGGAAAGTCATTGTGAAAACATGACTGCTGGTTAAACCTGAGGCTCCTCACCCCCTCCCCTGTCCTTGGAATGTCCATTCTGCCCACCATTCCCACAGTAGGAGATATTTTCAAGGATGCAGCCTTGATAGAGCAGTATGTTGTTGGGACCATCTGACTGGCATACGTGACTGAACCCAGTTAAGGCCTCTGTATAAACTTTAAAGATTGTGGTGGGCAGGTGAGGAGATCTACTTGTCTCATGGCCGCCCACGACAAGCCTTGTGTGTAAGTTCCCTTGTTTATTAAACCTGTCACCTGCCAATCTGCAGTGGTCTCCCTCTTTGTTCAGTCTCACCTTGCCCTCCATGTATGGGGGCCAATTTTTAAATCATTCAACAGTAATGAATAGTCTGTAATAAGCACAAGTATTGCTTTGTCTAATTTTTGTTTCAAAGACTTGTATAAAAGTTTATTATTAATTTTCTTTAGAAACTCTTTTTTGCATATAAATAGCCTCTTGGGTAGTCTAGATACATAATTGGTGGTGATGTTTAAATTCACTATTATGAGTTGTTTCCTTTTGCTTTAAAAAAAAGTTGGTAAATTCTAACTTAAAAATGTAATCAAACCTGGATAAAATTGTTCATTTCTTAAAAGATGTCTTAGTCATTCTTCCTAACATTCTAGGCTCTTTTGTCTCCAAATAAAATTTTTTGGTACTCATTTCTATACTTTTGGTTTATTTAAATTTTTTTCTGCTTTTGTAAGTAATATTTAAGCATTAATTAAATCTGGGTGGTACTATATCTGAATTTTTTATTTTAGTTTTCATACATTTCTATAAGATTAAATTGCTTCATTATAAAACATACAAGAAAATTAAAGTATTACATGCTTATTATAGAAAAGTTTGAAAATGTAGAAATATATTCAAGTAGAATAATAAAATAATAAAATACTCTTTCCTTTTTTCAAGTCTCATTATAAAGCAGACTGGAAGAAAACTCTTGCTAAGGGCTATGATTTGAGACCAGATGCCATTCCAATTGTTGCTGCAAAAAGTTCAAGAAATATTGCTAGTGATGTAAGTCTAATCTGAAAGTAGAAAACTCTTCTGTTTTTAAAACCTTTACATAGTATACGAGGATATATGAGGTAAATTAGGAAATAAAATATTATAGTATTAAAATATTTCCTAACATCCTAAGTGCCAATGAATTATATTACTTTGCTTTAAAATCTTTAGAAATTCAATACAAAAAGAAAATTTTTTAAACTGTGAAAAATGTTTGGTACTTTCATTGAAGTTGGAAACTGCTTTTTATTTGAATTTTTTTTTCAAGAAAAAAACTTTCGCATACTAAAATGTCACTAAGTCAAAAAAAGTCTCCAAGTATTTTAAAAGAATAAAATTTTTTAACATAATTTTCACAAAGAAAAAATATGATAAAATATAGGGGCACCTGGGTGGCTTAGTTGGTTAAGCACCCGACTTTGGCTCAGGTCATAATTTCATGGTCCATGGGTTCGAGACCTGCATCAGGCTCTGTGCTAACAGGTCAGAGCCTGGAGCTTGTTTCGGATTCTGTGTCTCCTTCTCTCTCTGCCCTTCCCTGCTCACACTCTCTCTGTCTCTGTCTCTCTCTCTCTCTCAAAAAATAAACATTAAAAAAATTTTTTAAACTGATAAAATATGGAAAACCAAGAAGAATTATAGATTTAAATGAGAGGATTTTAGTTACTTACCTACTTATTTACTTTTTATAAATTAAGTTATATTTTCTATATGAGTTGATATAATAACTTGGTAGAGTAAAAATTCATTTGGAGTTGAATATACTAATTTGTATAAGAGCTCTGCTGAAATTTACTCAGGATTACACAAGTACTTTATAAAATAATGCAGTTCTTTTTGGAATTGATTATTAAAAAATATATATACACTAAATCCTTACTAAACTTTTCAGGAACCTTTGAGAATGCTCAAAGAATCTACTTATAAATAATCTAGATGTAAACCACAAATTACCCCATTCTTAATTATCCCCAGAGCAAATCTCAAGACCATCCATTAGAAATACTTTCCTAGTTATTTATTTAAAAATACTAAAAAACTTGGTTGTTACCTGCATTCAGACCAAATTTGGCTATTGCTTAATTTGTTACGTAAATTCAGTATAACACTTTAGTATTTCCTATAATTGACCCTATCAACCTTCTGTCTGTTTGTCTTTCTGTTTAATATAGTTCAAGTATAAAGAGGCTTATGAGAAAGCCAAAGGCAGGCAAATTGGATTTCTCAGTCTTCAGGATGATCCTAAACTGGTTCATTACATGAATGTAGCCAAAATGCAGTCAGATCGTGAGTACAAAAAGGGCTATGAAGCCAGCAAGACCAGGTATCACACACCCTTGGACATGTTCAGCGTGACAGCAGCCAAGAAATCTCAGGAGGCTGTTACCAACACCAACTACAGACAACCCTTCCACAGCTACACTCTGCTGCCTGATGCCTTGAATGTGGAACATTCCAGGAATGCAATGCAGATCCAAAGCGATGTACGTAACAGTCAACACATTGTGGGCATAGAATTAGTTATCCGTTTCTAGCCGGTGGGAGGGACGAACAAGAAATTGGCAATTCCATTTACTTCATCTTAAACCTGGCCGGACTCACTATAATTAGGAATCCTCTCCAGAATTTGGAGTTTTAGAATTTCACTCATGTGAACTATATATAGCTTTAACATTTTTGTTTTAGTTAGTGTGTGTATGTGTGTGTGTGTGCGTGTGTGTTAGACACAGTATATGATATATTCTGTGAAAAGCTAAGAGGTTCAAATTAGTGCAATATACTGTCTTTCCAGTGTAAAATTCTTCTACCTTTTCCTCCAAGAAAGTTAAATTTAAAAAGGAATTATTGGGTCAGGTTTTCCTGTTCAAAATCACCATGAATTCAATCACTTTGTAATTTGGTTTCTTTTCCAAAAGATGGCAGGGAATAAAAAGCAGGTTACTCTCTTTTCCCTTTTTTTTTTTCTTTTTGATAATGAGTAAATTATCTAGCCAAAGAAACTCACACTCTGACTGTTTCTGAAATGAAAATGTCCTTTTTCATTGTAAAGAATCTATATAAATCCGACTTCACCAACTGGATGAAAGGGATCGGCTGGGTCCCAATAGAGTCACTGGAGGTGGAGAAGGCGAAGAAAGCAGGAGAGATTCTTAGTGAGAAGAAGTATCGCCAGCATCCTGAGAAGCTGAAGTTCACCTATGCCATGGACACAATGGAACAAGCACTTAACAAAAGCAACAAACTGAATATGGATAAGGTAAGAACCCAACTGCTGGCCTCATTCCGAGCCAGCACTCAAGTCATGAGCCTGCCGGTGCCACTATAATCTTCATCAGCATTTTTAATCTTTGTGATGGTCTTGGTGGTGGTGGGAGGGGGAATTCTGTAACTTTCATCATGTCTGGAGAGCTGTCACATACACTGATCCTCAGACCATCTGTGTGCACTACTCAGAGGGTGTGACAGAACTGCAAAACTCCATGTGGTGTGAGGTTGGGGCAACATGGCATGTGTTGTTTCAGTGGAAGGAGACTCCCTTCTTTGATAGGTTTTTCCCTCGTGTGTTCAGTCTCATCACCCCATCTTCTTGCCATTTTATCCATTTCCCAATATCAGATTTAATTTCTTCTATCATGGAGATGTGAGTCTGTTTCTCCTGATAGCACTTTCACAAACTTGTCCTGCCTTACAGTCATGTGCCTGTCCCTCTTGTTGCAGAGGCTCTACACTGAAAAGTGGAACAAAGACAAGACCACCATTCACGTCATGCCAGACACTCCTGACATTTTGCTTTCCAGAATAAACCAAATCACCATGAGTGATGTAAGTAGATTGACAGCAACGAAGTGGGAGAGAAGGTTGGAGGGAACTAATATTTATGGGATGCCTCTCTTTTACATACCAACTGCTTCAAAATCAGGATTCCCATTCGAACCCAAATAACAAGCTGCGGGTGTTATTCTATTTTGTCATTTAGAAACTGTACAAAGCTGGCTGGGAAGAGGAGAAGAAGAAAGGATATGACCTGAGGCCTGATGCCATTCCAATAAAGGCTGCAAAAGCCTGTAGAGACATTGCCAGTGATGTAAGTACTTCCACTGGGCTTTCTTTAGGCTCAGCAAATGAGACACAAATGAGCCAAGTTCCTGTGCATATTCAAGAGCTGCAGTCAACTCTACCTAGTGTTGGTGGGATTATCATCCATGGAACACACAAGACACTTTCCTTCACCTAGTCCAAGTACCCTCTAATCATTTGTTCATTATTTGATGTAAAAAGTAACTGGGTCATGTTAAGACAAGTTGCTTTTAGAGTATTGAGATCATTTATAGGCAATTCTGGGTGAATGTAGGGATGCAATCTACATGTTTTACCCAAGGGACCCATGATCTGGCTCTTTCCTGAATTAAAGATGCACCAGGAGAAATTGTGCCTGTAGCCTTTTCTGATTAGACACCTGAGTGAGGAAAGCTGCTTTCTAAAGCACCCTAAAACAACTTACTTATGCATCTCTTTGATTAATTCTGAGATCATTTTCTTTCCATGGAGTCAAGTCTGGCAAGAAATTTGAAGTAAAAAGATTTTGTTCACGGCCCCCATGAGCTTCTCTCTAATTGTACAGTAGCTCTAAAACTGTACACCTATGATAAATCTCATGGCGTCTAATGAATTACATTTTGTTCTCTTTCCTTCACTAACTTCACCACCATGCTTTCTTTCCCATCCGCAGTACAAATACAAGCAAGCCTATGAACAAGCCAAAGGGAAACACATTGGCTTCCGGAGCCTAGAGGACGACCCCAAGTTGGTGCACTTCATGCAGGTGGCCAAGATGCAGTCAGATCGGGAATATAAGAAGGCGTATGAGCAATCCAAGACCTCTTTCCACACCCCGGTGGACATGTTCAGTGTGGTGGCAGCCAAGAAGTCTCAGGAAGCAGCCACCAACACCAACTACAGAAATGTGATCCATACCTACAACATGCTTCCCGACGCCATGGGCTTTGAACTGGCCAAAAATATGATGCAGATTCAAAGTGATGTATGTGACAGCCATATCATTTGTAGAACATTTACTCTGGATAATAAGTGGATCATTAATGACCCTAAATCATTATGAAAATCCTGAAAGAAATTCATGTGTAATTTCCCACCAGATTGTTTATATATATTTTTTAACTTAGATTGAATTTATTTCTTTTAACAAAAGGGGATAAATTCTAGAAACTAAAGTCTTATTTTCCACCATTCTTGCTGTGAGGATTGTTGAATGCTGGATCCAGCAATCGCAAATGAAATTTTGTTGCAGAGAGCATGCTGAAGGAAACCTGTCTAGCAAAGAGAGTCAGAAGCATAAATGGCTCCTGATACAGAAGTAAGGGGAAAGGCAGAAAGTCAGATAACTTGGTAGCTCCTGCCCCTCACTCCTAACCAGCTTTCATTCCACTCCTTCCAACTTTGCAACTTGCTGATGAAACATTGAGGAGGTGAGGGCTGAGGCAGCTACTGGAATGAATGTGAGGAAGGAACAGAATTCAGCTAGAGAAACCATTTATTTGGTGGCTCTGAGAAGGGAATTTAAATTACAAACCAAAGGCAGGCCACACCAAGCATGTGTTTCTCTTTGGGAATATTTGAGCTGAGCTATTATGTACCCCACCCCTGGCAATTAAGTGCTCATATAAAACCAACCATGGCAGAGTTGTAGAGGACAATATCAGAATTGGTGGGGGGGGGGGGGGGGGGGGGACCAAAAAATTTGCACAGAGTACCAGTGAGGTTTCTGGCATACCTGAGAGAGTTGTAACAGTGGTGGGTGAGCAAAACTTACAATGAAAGAGAGAACCGGGGTCCCAGTGAGTCCTCGGTCAACCAAGGGAACTTGGGAATTTTTGTAAGAAAGGCCAGCATCATTCCTTTTCTTGAGAGAATAGTCATGTAGTAGTTTAGTCGGTATCTCTTAGCATTTTTTCTTTAATGAAGGCATTGCGGAAAATAAATCACAAAGATACTACTGCTTGTTTTTAATTGTTCGTGCAAGAAAATGTGAAAAGATACTGTTTGGGGACAAAAAGAGTTGAAGTTTGTTACGCTGTTGGTTGAACACTTAGGGAATATTAAACACCCACTCATAGTCCTTGGAAGTTTGGGTTTCTCCTCATCCATGAACCTTTCCTCTTTTGCAGAATCAGTACAAAGCTGACTATGTTGACTTCATGAAGGGCATTGGATGGCTCCCTCTGGGCTCCCTAGAAGCTGAGAAAAACAAGAAAGCCATGGAGATTATCAGTGAAAAGAAGTACCGCCAGCACCCGGACACTTTGAAGTATTCCACTTTGATGGACTCAATGAACATGGTTCTGGCCCAGAATAATGCAAAAATTATGAATGAAGTAAGTCATTCGTAATGTGATAGTTCCTAAGCACGGGGAAAAAGCCAGGCATTCTTACATTTGACCTATGGGTTTTGCTAATAGTTTTAGGGCATCACAATGAATGTTTATTCGACTTTGCAAAAGGAACTTGTGGTTGGGGCGCCTGGGAGGCTCAGTTGGCTAAACATTCAACTTCAGCTCAGGTCATGATCTCAGGTTCATGAGTTTGAGCCCCGAGTTGGGGTCTGTGCTTACAGCTCAGACAGAGCCTGGAGACTGTTTCAGATTCTGTGTCTCCCTCTCTCTCTGCTCCTTCCCTGCTCATGCTCTGTCTCTCTCAAAAATAAATAAACATAAAAAATTTTTTAAAAGGGGGACTTGTGGTTAAAAAAAATGATAGAAGTCAGTCCTAATTCGTGGCCTCCCAAATGTTTAGTGAACCAGTTTTCCCAACAGACATAACAAAATAAATATGAATTGTTTCTTCTCATGCACATTTTGTAACAAAATCTTGTTTGTCTAAGATGAAGTTGAGTAGAAGTTCATGACGCTGAATCAGCACATTGTTTGCCTGATAACAACTGGGTATTGCAGCCCACCGTGTTTCCTAGCTGCTTCAGTGGAATTGAAGAAGACTCTTAGATTATGTGGCTATGGCAGCATTCGGAGCCGGGACCTTCTGTGGGCAAATCATGAGAGCAATTGTTCTCCCATCAGTAGTCCCTTGGATCATTAATTATTCCACCCTTTAGAAAAGGCTTACTGTATTTTTAAAAATTTGTTAGCCATAATAAATATTGGGACCAACAAACACATCAACCTGGTACTTCTCTAAGTTACAAATAATAAAATAATTGCAACAGCATTGTTGTGGATCACGATTTGAAATGCCATTGATTAGCAAAAGAGAAAAAAAAAACTATTTGGACTTTAACATTAAACAGTTGCATAAAATTATGGTTCTACTTGTACTAGAGAGAGCTATATTATACTAAGTCTCTGAGTAAGTCCCTTGGAGTCTTCTGAGAAAGAAAACTGATTGGTCAAGATGACCGTTGCCTTTGATAGGGACTTGCCTAAAAGACAAGGCACAAATCTCAGTGCCTCTTTTAAGATTTAGTATTTAAACTCTCACAAGCTCACATAAACCTTTCATTTCTTTTTCAGCATTAATGATTTATTAACCATTTCAGAATAATGATGCTAAAGTAAGAATCTTCATCCTCTTATTGCAAAGTTGTGGAAATTATAGCCCAGACCTGCTGTGTGTCTTTAGGCAAGGTACATTGCTTCTCTGGGCCATAATTTCCTCAAATCTGCAACAAAAGGATTCAACTGATGACCACCAAGATATCTCTCAGTGTAGCATTTGCTATTTCTATGATTCTCATCTTGGCATCATTTTACTTTCCATCTTACATAATCTCTACTGTCTTGTTTGAATGAGTATCTTTTCCAAAAAAAAAATAAAATTGAGTTAATAAAAATACTTAAAATATTGACGTGTGTATATACATATACATATATACATATGTATGTGTATATATATATATATATATATATTAAATGAGCACATTTTAAGATTTGTAAATACTAACTTTCCTTTTTTCCTTTTTTTTCTTTTTTAAATTTCCAGCATCTCTACAAACAAGCATGGGAGGCTGATAAGACCAAAGTCCATATTATGCCTGATATCCCCCAGATTATTTTGGCAAAGGCAAATGCAATTAATATGAGTGATGTAAGTATAATCCCCCCTGGTTTATTTGAACCAGTATAAACAAATAAAGTAATGTCTCAACTATGAAGAATGAATGTTTTGAAAATAAGAGGAATCCACAAATGACAATCTTTCTCTTTCTAACCTTGCTTTGCTAAGAGTTGGAGCAGGCCTGTCAATGAGACTTGGGCCCAGCAGTTAGGAATCTGAAGGGCACTTGGATTTTGTTTGGGGGGCCGGTATGCCTCCTCAAACTAAGAGACCTGGCAGGAAGAGAAGGGCTTGCTCCCTCCCTCTCCCAGAAGAGAAAAAGGAAGTGAAAATCCTAGGGCTCGGTTCCTGTAGTCTCTCTACCAAGCCTTTGAGATGGTCCTAAAGAGGGGGGTCTCAGGGAAAGTTAAATGGAAAGGGAAGATGAACATGTTGAAGAATTTGGAGCAAGCTCCATAACAAGGAATGTTCCACACTTAGTGTTAGAAAATGCGTAGGTGTTTTATTTCACTTCCTTTCTCAACCTAACCATAGTTGCTAGAAAATCTCCAATCCTACCAGTGTTTTTTCTTCTCTTTGAATTCCATAAGGATTTAGGATTGATGACTCCTTTTTGGATCGTAAAATCCACACAATTACATAAATAAAAGTGTCACTTGCAAAACAGTGAAGTTTTCTTTTGATCTAAGAGAATGGTTGTTTCGTAGTCTTTCCTTGACTCTTAATTGATAAAAACGTTATCAGTTAGAATCTGCTGGGCTTTAGCGGTTTTAAAAAGCATATTTACAACCAAAGAGATCATTAGCTGTTTTTCTGATGGTTTCTTGAAAATAAGCTTGGGTTTGTAATAGACTTTTTCCAAACACAATTTTGTTATTTGTAAGAACATTTAGCCATTGAACCACCAAGGAAGCATTCTGCTTAAAAATAAAAATGATGCCACAGCACTAGTGTTTACTCTTTTAAAATAAGCCCAGGCTTTTCTATTTAGAAGAAAATTATTCCCTTGCTTCTCTTTACAGAAACTCTACAAACTTTCTTTGGAAGAATCTAAAAAGAAAGGCTATGATCTCAGAACTGATGCAATTCCTATCAAAGCTGCCAAAGCCTCAAGAGATATTGCAAGTGATGTAAGTCTGCAGGAAAACACTCACCTTTGTTTTGTTTTGTTTTGTTTTCTAATTTACCAAAATAATAAGGGCTGAGTTTTGGAAACACTCAATGGATAAAATATGGGGGGAACAAAGCATGCCTACTAACAATGGCCTCCTATTCAATGAGTACCTCTTAGGTTTGCTCTTTTGTTGTCTCTGGTATTTCTGAAAAAAACAGAATGCTAACCACATTATGACCACATATCTTTGTGCTCCCCAGCTTATGAGATCTAGGTGAATTTTCTTTGAACTTCATCCCCAAGGCTGTGGCCTGTAGAAATCCAAAGCCCTTCACCAAGCTTTCCTGCAGAAAGACTTGAATTGTTCTTGCTTCCTGCCTTTTAGGAACTGTCCTCCTAACAGGATGTCTCATTGTGTGGTATACTAGGGGTGCTGATATTTTGGACTCGTGACAACTGATTATTAAATAATCAGAAATTTTGCAAGCCAGTTGTTAAATTCTTGGTAGCTTGACATCAGCCATGGTGGGAGTATTTACACCACAGAAATTGACAAACACTGCAGATGAGGGCTTTTATCCCTCCAATCGCCGGTGTGCCAACGCACCATTGCCATAACACATCACCTGTGGGAAATTCAGTTCTTTCATTTGGTTGTTTCCACAAGAAATCTGCTCACAGTGAGCACTGAGTTATTTGGGGGTAATGGGAAGAGCACATTTCAGAGCACTCTTTCCTTAGCCACTCCTGCAATGACACTTTCTCTCTCATTTTACATACTTGCTCTTCATCTTTCCTACCTGCCCATCCTGATGCCACTACTACATTGTCCTGAAATCTCCAAATTCTTTTCCCTCTATTATGCTGGAGTAATTTGGCTCCCCGAGCTCCTGCCCCCTAACTCACACACTCAAACTCACAAGAGACAGGCAGAATAAAAACTTTCCATGTATCAGGATCCTCTCTCTGTAGAAAGAAGTTGAGTGATAAATAAAACTTATTCCCCATTATGCCAGTCTTAAGGGAAAAGGAGTTCTACAAATACAAAGCTACTCTAAAACGATATCCCATAACTAAGCCTATTCTCAACCGTAAAAGGCTGGCTGATGATTTCTTAGGGCAGCATTAAACTGCTTAGAACATTCTGCTCTTTTCACTCATTTGCCCTACTGAAGTTCTCTTTGACACTAACAACAGAGTATGTGTGGAAGGCAGTGTGGTATATCATCACAGGCTCTGGGTTCTAATACTTAGTGACCTTGGCAAGCCACTCACCTCCCTGGGTCTCAGCTTACTCACCTGTAACATTGGGGCAGTAATAATAACTTTGTAATCTACCTCACAACATATAGTTGTGAGTAGCAAGTTACACAAATAAATGTGAAAAATGTGTTTTATAAACTGTAGAACTCTACACAAGTATCACTTTTTATGAAATACAGAATATTGACACTAGAATGCTTCTAGTCAAAAGAACTGCTGTAACAAATAATCTATTTTTTTCACAGTATAAATACAAATACAATTATGAAAAGGAAAGGGGGAAAATGGTTGGTTTCCGTAGTCTTGAGGATGATCCCAAGTTGGTCCATTCCATGCAAGTGGCTAAGATGCAGTCTGATCGAGAGTACAAGAAAAACTATGAGAAGACAAAGACCAGCTATCACACTCCTGCTGACATGCTCAGTGTCACAGCTGCCAAGGATGCCCAAGCCAACATCACCAACACCAACTACAAGCACTTGATTCACAAGTATGTCCTCCTTCCAGATGCCATGAGCATCGAGCTGACCAGGAATATGAATCGCATACAGAGTGATGTAAGTCTCTCTTCTTTCTGGGTGATGGTTGGATTCCTAGCCCAGGAATGGAGATCACAGTCTTCTATACTTTTGTGTCTAAACTGACAAAGGTAAAGTAATTGATAAGGTGAAGGAGAATTTGTCTCTTCTCTTTATAGAATGAATACAAGCAGGACTACAATGAGTGGTACAAAGGGCTTGGCTGGAGTCCAGCTGGTTCCCTAGAAGTGGAGAAGGCCAAGAAAGCAACTGAATATGCCAGCGATCAGAAATACCGCCAGCATCCTAGCAACTTCCAGTTTAAGAAACTGACTGACTCTATGGACATGGTTCTTGCCAAGCAGAATGCACATACCATGAACAAGGTAGGCAGCCATCCTTCTATTCAGGTCCTTCCATACAGCTTCCAGGAAGGCAGGGCTAGCAGCCTCTGGTTCTTGTTTGGGGAATTTGGTTGGAGTCCACCACTTCTGGGCAGTGACAAACAGTTCCAGAGCATGTCCCTATATCATTTTCTTCTGCCGACTTCTTATTTCCCCTGTTTGGTTTTGGGTTTTTATGAGAGAGAGAGAGAGAGCGAGTGCATGAGCGCAAGTGCAGAGGGCAGAGGGAAAGAGAGAGAGAGAGTCAGTCTTAAGTAGGCTCCACATCCAGTACAGAGCCTGACGTGGGGCTCAATCTCACAACTGTGAGATCAGGACCTGAGCTGAAATCAAGAGGTGGACACTTAACTGACTGAACCACTCAGGTGCCCCATTTCCCCTGAATCTTATCATTGAGTTACAAATCATTTGTTTTTTAAAATTATTATGTTAAGTATTTTTAATACATTCTAGAAGATAGACCTACAATATTATTTTTTAAAAATCTGAGTTTGTTTTTAGTGTCTTTTCTGAATCATAAGCGACTTTAGTTACTAAAATTAATTCAAATTGAGTGCATTCAAATGCTCTGTTAAGTTTTTTTCTTTCCGGTGGGTCCTAAAAAGCTATTCAAATTTCAAATGTCTTTTTTCCCCCTAACTTCCTAGCACTTATATACCATTGACTGGAACAAAGATAAAACCAAGATTCATGTGATGCCAGATACACCAGATATTTTACAAGCCAAGCAGAATCAAGCTATGTATAGCCAGGTAAAGTTATATAAAAATTTGGCTTAAAACTAATTAAACTTATTAAATGATGTAATGGTAAATAATTGATGTAAATGCAGAAGGAATGGAAATGAATGACTCACACTGGCTAACTAGAGATGCTGCAAAATATGGCGGTTAAAAGGAAGGGCTTTAGCCGTGACTCTTTTGCTCCATGGAGAGAGGCACTGTGCCCGTGTGATTTATCTCCATACTCCTTGTACTTGGCACAGAGTAGGAAATCAATAAATAATTGTTGAAAGAAAAAAATTGCATCAGACAGACCTGCTTTGGGTTTTGGCTTTTATGAATTATATAACATTGGGTCTAAGCCTTAGTTTCCTCATTCCTAAAATTGGGACCATAATAATGCTTATGACATTAAATTAAATTGCTGTGAAGACCAAATGAGAAATTTCCATGGAAGGCTCTCCACACAGTACCTGTGTTGAACACACACTAAGTCTGGATGACTTACAACTATTTTTATTATTATCCAGTTTTAACCCCCTTACATCTATTCAATAAATTTCATGCATAAAGATGAATTCATTTATTGTGCCTCATAAAAGGCTTTTCAGTATCTACTACTTTTATCACTTAGATAATCAAAATTTTGTTACCTTTTTTTGGTTACCAATTTTTTTCACATCTGTGATTCAAATAGTGAGCCCAGACTGTACTTAACAGCAGGAGGAAAGTACCTAATATACTTGATATGCCCATATTGTGTCTGAACAGAAAAGCAACTCTAAAATTGTATATGTATCTCATAACTGAGTGTATTCTCAGAGTCAGAAAATTGAAGCAAAATCCTGTAATGCTAAGTCAGTGCTTCATAAAAACAGCTTCATTTGTTTTTATCCATATCTTTAGAGATAAGGGAGATGATAGAATCTGATGTCTACTCTCTAGGTAAACTGTTATTCAGTAATTCATTGGGGTTTTAGTATATACTGAATAATGCTAAATTATTTAATTTCCAGAAACTCTATAAACTTGGATGGGAAGAAGCTTTGAAGAAAGGATATGATCTCCCAGTTGATGCAATTTCTGTGCAGATGGCCAAAGCTTCAAGAGACATCGTTAGCGATGTAAGTACTTGTTTGGCTTTTATGATATGTTATCTGAATCAGGTATCTTAATGCTGGTAACTATTTTTACAGATGGGCCTTACCTTTCAAAATGTAATACTATTTCTTCATCTTCTCCTATCCTCTCAGTTTACCAAAAATTCACTTTTCTTTCTTACTGATCCAGTATCAAAGAAAGGGTTTCTTGAATAGAGGTTGAGTCAGAGGACCTATAGGAGCCATTATCACACTAACAATGAAGCAACAGAAAGACAAATAAAGAAACTGATCCCATTCACAATTGCACCAAGAAGCATAAAATACCTAGGAATAAATCTAACCAAAGATGTAAA